ATTCAACATGAATTGATACCTGATATTGAGCTTAAGATTTTTGCAGACCATGCATACCGCTCTGTACTTGTTACTTTGATATATTAAATGTAATATTTGTCTCTGTCTAAAACCTAGCAGGGAGCCTGGACCTGTTGAGTGTTTATGTATACAGGTATGTTTGTTTTGTGGTGTCAACAAAAAAATAAATAAAACAACATTAAAGTGTGGTAGTATAGAAAGAGGAAAATACAGTTGAACTTGATTTTAGAAACGGAAAGTCTAGAACGACATAACATTTGAGACGAATGGATTGTATGGTTTTGAAGGTCGAAGAGGAGGTGGAGCAAGATGAGGAGAGAAGAAAGAGGAGGAGGAAGAGAGTCTAGAATTGCTTCCGATATATCCTTGCGGAGGGCAAGGATATATCGGAAGCAATTCTAGACTAATGCACAATTCTAGACTAATGCACAATTCTAGACTAATGCACAATATATCGTCCATGTACGACGATTCACAGAGACACAAGGCACGTATGCATGAGCCGGATGGAAGGTGTTAGCCCGTATAATGTCAGTATCCATTTTAATTTACACGCATTAAGCATTGGCCTTGTAATGGGAAGCACTCTAGAGCTTACCTCTTCCGGAAACGAGAGAAACAATTCTAGATTGTCGCTCTCACCCCGATACAGCATGCCAAACTTACTTTAAAAACTCGCCATAATTCAAAGATAATGAATATTTTATTTTTATTGCCATTTCCGGCCAAGATTTTTTTTTATAAAAGAACATAAAAATATGTAGATCTGCTATCGGCGGCATCATTACCAACGAGTGATAGAAAATTAACCCACACGGCGGGAACATAAGCATACGCCTGTAAAACCACTTGTTTATATAGCCACCAAATGTATCTATTTGCTTTTTAATCAGCAGGTAATAAAACGAATATTTCCCGCACATCTATAAAATAAGAAATCTACTTAAATACACATTAGTTCTAATGAGACTGTAAATTCCTATGCCGAATAACTGGCCATTTTTTATTACGCGCAACCAGCTTCCGTTTTCTTGTAACATAAATATTTAACACTTTTTGCCTTACATAAGTATATAATTAACATTTCATAAGAAAATAGATACATTCTTAGTTATATTCTAAATAAAGTTTGTTTCAATATCGTAATACACCTCTTTTAAAAAAAATAATAAACCTCGTTTATCTTCCGTGCCAAGGCGATCATTAGGGAAGTGAAGAAGCCTTGTATATAAACTATGTAGATTTCTCTTTGGTTTCATCCTCTCGTTCCATCCAGTGTCGATCATCTGCTGACGGGACAACATCTTTTTAATCATTTTTTTCTAATCGACTTTAAATGCTCTTTTCAGCGTCAATAAAAAAACATCCACACGTCTAACAGTACCAGGTCACCGATATGTGTCACACTTCATTTAATTTTCTTGGAGAAGTCACTTTATCCCAATTGTTCTTTACAGCACACAGCCGACTCCCGACCCCGACCACGACCCCCGGACAAGATCCCCTGTCTCAAAATACATAGAACACTCCAACAACTACCAATTAATAACCTTCCCGTCGTTGTCGATGTCCACATCAATATTGACTGCTTGTTTTAATATATCCTATAACTTACATTTCGATTTTTAATTATTCAAACTAGTTCAAATTATGTTGATAATGATAATTATTCTAAGTGTCTTTATGTTACATCATTTCTTCGTGGTTGAAAATTTTGAAAAAATTGGAAATATAAAGCACCTGCTTTATACCTGTATATATTCGAGTTTAGAAAGGTATTCATGTCAGTGCCTGTAAGTGCCATCAATTCAAAGCCATTATCCTTTAGTTTACAGCCACAGCTAATTTAGACAAATGCATTGCAAACATGCACAAACATTTTAGTCATGCTTCATTTTAAGTACAAATAAAATGTATACTGTTTATCCTGAGCTATCACTCAGGCAAACATCGGAGTTCTCCACCAGCATGTCTCCGTTTGATGTTCGCCTGCAAATTATTATTGGTATTATTTTTATAGCAAAAACTACATGCACAAGTGTTGATAAGCAGCACCTCTTTCAAAATTGCATTTGCGTTTTATTAACAACTCTAAGAATTCATAAACGGAAAGTGAGTTTAAGCTCTCAGAGTGATAAGTAAATTATGACATACAAATGTACTTGGTATAATTGTTGGTGAAATCATAAGCTAATTTACATATGCATTGTTCCGAATTTCAAGAATGCGACCGGAAGAGTCAATCCCATCAAACAGCATATCTACTAATCTGATGGGAACATCGCTTAATCAGTTTCTTCAGCTTTGTGATATTTGACTTCTTGTGATGTGGAAATACCTTTACAGAGCAGCAGGGCCTTTGATGAACTACACGCCTTTCAATGGTATCCTACTCTAAAACGGAAATTGCAATACAGCTGTTGCATATATATATGGACGTTGTAATAGAAGTGCATGACGAAGGTATACAGTTTTTAACTCGTACACCACCCGGGCTGGAACTCAGGATTTATGGCACATAATCTCCTATATATGTGTGTGATGAAAAAGCAAGCCCGATAGAGATTCGGAAGCAAGCCTTATTAAAGGGTGTAATGAACGTTTCAGTAACTAAACAGTGACTAAGTATATCAATGTAAGAGAAAGAAACCAGCAAAACAAACAAGAACAAAAACAATAAAACAAAAACAAAACAAAAAACAAACAAAAACAAAACAACAAAACAGAAAGAAAAAATTGTGGAGGGGTTGGGGGGCAGAAAAGCATAGTATTAAACTTGCAACTCTACAGAAACAAAACTTCTCAAATACAAGACTTAAGGACATCAACCTTAGCTTTCTCTATTCCCTCCTATTCAAGGGTTATGTCACCTGAATATACCTCTTTTGTCTCAGTTAACCCCCTTCCCTTCCCTCACGCCTACACCACGTGTGTCACTTTGTAAGGAACCATGTAACACTGAAATGACATTTCCTAACCTTGTTTGGACAGATGTGTATTATTCATAGTCGTTTTTCTTCATCGCGGCAACGACACGTTTAAATGCGTGGTTCCTTTCACCAAATATATACATTACACGGCGTGATTTATCGTATGTAAATAGTCCTATTGAATAGAGGGCATTACCGAGAAAAAATAACTGAAAAACATACATCACAAGAATATCACCTCAGTCTATAAATATCGTTTTCCAGATATTGATAATTAGTCTTTATTTTAAATCTGTTTATCTACGATTGTGGCAATACATTCTTCGCAATAGAAATAATATATCGTTGTAGTCAGGAACGGTATATAAAGATGAGTTTTATTCTTGATCGAGATTCTTGAAATGTTACAAACACTGTTCAGAAAAAATATTGTTTAGAAAGAATTTTTTTACAAGTCATTCAGGACCGTGTTTTACTGTTAGCACTTCGGTTCGGATAACTTGGATAAAGAGAAAATTTCAGGAAAACTACATTTACCAACGTCCAGTCGGTTAGCATAATTTCTGAGCGAGATGTTTCTAGCAAACTGAAAAAGCAGTTCCTTAATCTGGCTTTACCGACGCCCAGCAGATTTGGACCAGGCTGTCCCATTTGTTACCTCACATCAGTGTACAGTGTACTTTAGAAATAAAAGTGGAGAAACCACGTGTTTGGAATCCTAAATAATGTCAAATTTGGTATACAAGGATGTTGGGTGTTAGTAAAGTCAGATTTCATAGTACATGAAAGTGCATAATGTAATGAACCATTTTCTGTACTTTAATAAATGTAACGGCAAAGTTAACCTTAGATATGTAAATGTATGTTCACTGTATTGGAATGAATGAAAGGAAAAACTTATCGAAAGTGCATACATTCCCCCACGGGACCTGCCAGTCCCTAGTGTACACTAGATAGATGCTAAAGAAAAATGTTATCAAATTTACGTAGAATACTCGGCAGGACCAGCCGTTCCCTTTGGTATATAGTTGGATTGGAGGAAAAAAAGAGATGTTATCAAAACTGCGCACAGTACTCGGCGGGACCTCCTGTTGTATTGGAATATGATGAAATTTACAACAGTAGCGCGTACTCCACGTACTGATGACGTCATAATTAGATTCCTCATAACGTGTACCTGATTAGACATTCGTCATAACATTGTCAGATGTTACATTTAGATATAGTTCAATACGTGTGTACGTGAAGCTGTTAGATAGATAAGTCTTATAAATATAATGTACTTTCGCGTGCGCATACTCTGTATTGGTCGGTAGATCAGTCCAAACGTGTTTGTTATAGCAACCGACGAATGCAGGGTTAGAAAACGTTATTTACTCTGTTCTAACAGTAGCGTACCGACGGAAACACAAAGAGTTTGATATGGTTATATAAGAAAAGTTTTCATACATGAATCAGGAATGATTTACCTAAATTAAGTTTTTATGTACCAGATCTTCGTTTTTTATTTTGTATTTCATTACATTGGGTTTATAGATTTGTTATATAAACCTTTTAGGCTGCAGCTGACAAACGTGAACTCGGAGTGTTCCTTACCACGGAAAAATCCGACTGGTGTTGTGGCCTATCTCGAGCGCTGATAGTTAAATTTGTTCTATGATACCGCGTATCCTGCCGTAATGTATAATACCCTTCACACTTCAGAAATGCTAGTAGTCGATGACAGACGGCCAAACTAACACTACCGACCGGACTATTTTCAGTATGTATACATACAGACTACGCCAAATCGCCATCTACATATAACGCGAGTGTTTTAGCTGGATCAGATTATTTATTTTTCAAGTATTTGATATGAAACTACCGATTATCTTAATATTTTGAAATATATTTTTAAATGGATATTTCTTTTGATGATTTATTTACTAATCTGTTCCGTCAGTGATACGTTCCCGATTTCGAACTTGTCGTCTGTATTTGTGTTATGGTAAATGCTTAAGGATGAAATGAAGGAATAGATTAAGAGGTACTCATACTTAAGCCCGTGTGATGCACGATCGTGGAATTAAGGACAAGATAATGAATGGATCACGTTACCGTAGCAACGGAAGTGACAGCAAGGACACCATTTTCAAAGTGGTTTTGCTGGGATGCCCAGGTGTGGGAAAAACAGGTAAGCTAATTTCATTATCGCTTATATTAAGATATCGAGGTATAAAATGAAACACGATAGTTTTATAAAAACTTGTGTATAATAGATTAAAACATAAAAAAAAACATAGAATTATGGTTAAATGTTGCGTGCTCCAAGAGGAGGGACCAGAAAATTTAAAACACGTTAGAACATTTCTAGAATAGAGATTTCTACTCTAGCTTTTTAAAATTGTTGAAATTCTTCAGAATCAAAACAATTTGAAATGTCTAGGCAAAAACGAAACTTCTAACTATAAGTTCATTGGTGGTTTCATGTCCGAGGTATGGTTTCGGTTTACTCGCCCGTTCCATTTCACACACGATCCGAAAGCTTACACACAAAGTCAGAAATTTCACAGTGGAGACGCATTACGGTTCCTTTTTTCTTGTATCAAAGAGATCACAAGTTGACATTGTACGGCGGTTACTTCAAATGATGCGGTACCTTTTGGTTTTTAAGCACGATATGTGGTTTAAACAACAGATCGAAATGATAGACGGAGGTCTGTATACCAAAGCATGTGGATCAAACTGTATGTAGTCTCCTCCGTCAAATCAAGATTTGTGTCACGTCAAGAATTAATGCCCTAGCATCGGCATACATTGCTAAGTTATGTCGTTCGACCAATGAAAATAGCATCGTTATCGAAGAGTTTGGCTTTGGCATTACATTCCATAGTAAACTTGAAATAGTTCTTTATTTTTTTTTATTTCTAAATATTTCAATTATTCTGAAATATTCCATTTTTCCGTCGCGTGTTTTTCCTTATCACATCCTGATACATTGCTGCAATCAGTCTCGGAGCAAAATCTCGATTCTGATGGATGGGAAACAAATGCATTGTGCATAGTTGGGGTCCTAGCGGTGCCAAGACACCGTAGGATATAGACATTTACAATCTCCAAACTCTTCATTTACACAATTTATCTGACACTCTTATTCAGCAAAGGGAACACACAGGAATTCGTCTATTTCTTTATAGCGTCAGAATAGCGATTTGGGGAAAACATAATTATTTAAAGGGAGATTCCAGTCATGTCAGTCAGGAAATAGAACAATGACGAACCCGTCTTACAACCAAGTCCTTCTGTTGTCGGGGTCCTGTTGGTTTGTTACATTATTTTGGCAAGTTGAAGTGTAGGGTCGCAAAAGCAACGTTCGTAGCGAAAACAGCCGTATTTTTGACTGACACCTGACTTCTCTGTTGTTTCATTTAGAAATTATAATTTTTTCGCGATTTTGACCTGAAAATTGTAACCCCCTCTGTCCACCCCACGACAATACGGTTTTTTTATCTAATGGCAAATTTCTACACTACTGTTGGAAACACTTTGCATGAAAATCGACCTGCCTACCTTGATGATATGGTATTTTGAAGTTTCTGGTCAAACGACCCCTGTGTCTCGCGTAATGACGTGTATTATCTTCACACCCATCCAGGGAGTAACTGGTTTCATTTTTATAAAACATTTCATATTCAGTATCAAATTAAAAAAAAGTTTCCTTTTCCTTTATTGACAGCATGTTTCCTAAATGCTGAATATATCTTTTGATGTATCTACATCATTTTCAAGGCCAAATTAAATGCACAAATATTTGATAAACATCCATTTTTTTATGGAACAGTCTCAGATTTGTTTTGTTTTTTTGTTTTGTTCCTTTTTATAAAGATGTTAATGTGTTAATTTAGAGTTTCGGTAAGTAACCAATAACTGAATATGGACACCATTTCATTTTTTAAAAGAAAATCATCATTATGTAAATCATAACATGGTGTTGTTGACTCCTACATCAATAGAAAACATCCCCATTACATATTTACAAAGATCCGTTACAGACATTTTACACGGATATATAAAGCCCTGCCTACCTCAGTGTTTGTATGAACTACATGTGTGCATTATTTGATATGCGTTTTCTCTTTCTATCCCTAGCTCTAACAGTACGCTTCCTGACCAAGCGGTTCATTGGAGAGTATTGCCCTACTTTAGGTAAGTACTACTGGTTCTCTGGCTCTTGTTATAGGGATATTGTAAAGTGTCCGATGCTAGAGGTAAAAATAAACATCACTTGCATATAAAATTCTCACTACCTTGTAGTATGTCTGTTGAATTCAATGTCCCTTAATATAACTATCATAAAATCCCTGATCCGCACTTTGATAACCTGACATCATTTAGATAGGACTTGGAAGGAGAAAACGCTTGGTCTTATTCCTCTTGAAGATAAAGTTTATTTATTTATTCCTCCCTTTTAAAACTGATTTTGATTTACGGTTCCATATACTCGGTGATATTTTCATGTTGTCTTTTTCATGCGAGACACTTTGCCAGAAACAACAACTGAATGATTCAATACAATTTAATCTATCGAATTCTCATTAGCTTTGTGCCATTGTTTTGCCATATTTTGGTTCAATGAAACATTTTTGTTGACTTTGTGTTTTCCACCCAATCCCTACCAGCCTTGTGGTTTAATTCTACCTTTCCCTCCTTTTACATTTCTATGTTGTCTGTCTTTAATTAAGAATGCCAAGATGTGCTTTGTTTCTTTGCCTCTTTATCCTCTCTGCAACATCATGTGTTAACTACAATGCTAAGATTGTACTTTGCTCACGTACGCTGTCCCTCTGGATTACTTCCGAACGTAGTTATACGGTAGATTACCAACATACCACCTGAGGTTACATAGTAAAGTTTTATAAACAGACATTCACAACAAGCATCGTTTAAGCCAAACATATCAACTTCTTGTTACCTCATCAAAACCCAATCGCTTTGTATCTTTCTACAAAGCGTTAGATCTATTATGCACCTGCCTAGCTTAGGTTAAGGTTTCGCGTATCATAGCAACTGCTCTGAAAGTATGATATTTGTTGTTTATTGTTAGGAGTTTTATGTGCTTGATAATGATTTTAAACATTATTTGAGAAACTTGTACCAGTTTCCAACCATCTTTCAAACATTTGGTGTCATTCAGTTTGCGTTCTGTCTTATTCTGTTGAGACGTTTGTAAGAGGCCGTTGTGTTTATAGCTTTTGTATAATACGGGATTCAGACGTCTGTTGTGTCTTAGTAACGATATCAAGTGTTGTGAAGTTAATACTTCCGGGTTGACTTCATATAGTGTTAGTAGACATATTGACTATTCTGTGTTATCAAACGGTTAACATAATCAGCTAAAACGGCCAATTTTGGAAGAACCTGAAAGTCTGAAGAGTATATATAAATAGAATGCTTCCGCTGTTTTTATATTTCTTTTTAGCCGACGAAAGTCTCTGTCTAGGGTTTCTATCCTCAAAATGTCAATGTATGTGCTCGCCTTCCCTTGCTTTGTCATGGCACGATGTTGATGGTATTCACATTGAGAAAGAACTTTGAAAAATCCTTTGAATGATTTTACAAAATCATCCTACGAAGTAAAAATGCGTCGAAGTAAAAATAGAACATCTGATACAACACTACAACTGGGACCGAGGAGACTTCAAAACTAAAGGAAAAGCAACATCACAACTAGCCACTCCATAGAACTCTGTGCTTTAGCTGTATAATTATGTTTGAATTACCGTTAAACAAATTACCATGTGAACATTTCAGGTTTCTAAAATTGTTATAAATATTATAGTTTATGGTTTACTATTTACTTATTAAGGCACAGCAGTCATATCAACGTCTGTAAATATCGAAATAAAATGGAAATCATAAAGTTAATTATGTCGCTGTACTCAAATGAATCCTCTTCTCACCGTGATAAATAAATGGAATAAATCAAATTTGTCACCAATTATTCGGAGTACCATTTTTAAATATTGATAAAGCTCAATAATTAAAGCATGAATATCAACCACCACTCCCCCTCCTTGCCCCATCCCTTAAAAAAAAATACAAATAAACAAACAAACAAAATTGGCATGACCTTGTCTCACGCAAACCACGATAAAGTTGAACTTGGAGTGACCTTACGGAGAAGGCCAACGGTAAGTGTGGAATTATGACACATTTTAAGATACGCGTATCAGCAATACCCAGTAATCAATTAGATGAGTTTCAAAGCCGATATCACGTTTGGTATCGCTGGAATGTGTTTCAGTCCTCTCAAGGGTCAGAGCTGGACAATCCTTTCTTGTCAACAAATTGGTCTAAATTGATTTAGACGAAATAGTAAACGGACAACACAGAATGATATTTTCAGATTGTAGCAGACCATTATGTTCAGGTAGGAGAAACATTCTTTCTCCTAGCATGTTGATTTAGATTGTTAGCGTGTACTTTGCTGACGACTCTTAAGATCCTTGATATTAAATGACCTGCATTCATAACACGATATTTGCCATTGCATGGCAATGGTACGGTATACTCTTATCTAATGGTGCATAGAAACATAGTTCTTATGAATACTATCTAGAATGCCAAGACGCTTCATTGAATTTGACTTTATCCTTGTGACATTCATATACCTATGAATACCACCTGAAAGCAGTTCATTGTTAACAGTAACCTATTAAAGGACAAAGTAATGATGGCTTCTGCAGGGCTCGAGATAACCTGGGTACCAACAGTGACACCAATAGTGTGAAAAAGGATTTGTCACCGACCTCGTCCGTCATCTCATCCGACAGCATAATCAATAAGTTTAAATTGATAGGAGTGAGACAAAAATCAATCCAGGGACGAACGAACCGAGCAAAATAAAATCAAGTAACTAACTGATAAATAAATATAGATAATGATAAAGAAAAACGAGGAAAAAATGAATAAAAACAGCAACAACAACATAACAAACATCAACAAAGACCAAAATCGGAAAGCAACATGTTGGTTGCAAAAATGTTTGATGTTGTCCTTAATTTCACCTTTAAATGCTAGGTAACTTTACACGATGAACGTAGATAGGAAAATAAAAATAAAAACAGCAACGTCTGCACGGTCAGAAATCCCCACTTTTTATGATGAAATCCTCAGGATTGTGAAAAAGGAAATGTTGAGAATGACGTGATCTGATCCCAGTCTTTGTTAGGTGTTCATGTTAGATATAGAGTATAAACATGGCTATATTCCCTGTGAGATTGATTGATGGGATTCATCTCCTACCAGATATATTACGTTTTATTTAGAAGTTTGAGCTTTTAATACCCAGCATACTTTGTTAAAAGTATGGTAGTAGGTCGAGAAACGTTGTTAAACAAATACAAATATTGATTTGGTATTAACAGAGTGTGGTAGATTAGCAGCTTTGTTCAGGTAAAACATCTCGAAGCTCTAGCGACGCCATCATTGTTGACAAATGTATTAAAGCTAACGTGTTTTAGCCTTAATAACCTAGAATGGATCAATTTAAACGGGATTAAATAGAAAATCTCTAACTTCACTTCACCATGTGAAAAGTAGAACATTTTCAATTAAAATCGTCAAATGTTGCATGACCAATAGACATTCTGAAGGTGTAAAACTAAATTTGAAGCATTTTCAGTGTTTTTGAAATATATTCTGCTAAGTGTTCTGTTTAAAATAAAAGAAACCAACCATCTTTTGTAAATAAGCATTGGTATAGACATAACTTCAATTATCTGTCCGTTCGTATACGTTTGTAAATTTCTCCGTTCGTTCGTTCGTTCAAGTCCTTATAAGTCATCATCCAGATAGTTACGTATCTCATCACGTTAACATGCTATACACAAAATTTAATTGACCTTTTTCGAGGTCGAGGTCACAATATACTTATTATATAGTCCATTGTATGTATCGTGGAACCCTGCATTTCAAAGTTGTGTACTTTGTAGGTCTACTTTCGGTACGGGCGGATCTTAAAACTTGTCATGTTGATTATTTTACATATAGACATAGTTTCGTGTTTACACAAAACGTGCGTCAAAGAAGAAATGTTTAAAGGAGTTGCCATTTTAGGTTTCTCACGAACCAGCGGAGGTCACAGTGACCAAGTGTGACCATTTTCTCTAGAATATGGAACTTTTAAGTAAAATGGGAAGCTTGTCAGTTTGATTGTTTAAATATTTGATAATAGGAATACTGCTGGTCATTTTCACGGTTCTAGCTGCCAGTCTTATAATGCAAATTAAGTCTGTTTTCCTTTCTATGATTTTGTTTTAACTACGGTATCTACATGGTGTGAGATGACGTGTAACTTCATCATCTGCAATATGTAATATTTTTATGGCAATTTTCAAATAAACAAAAATGTTCTCTTAACAAATAGTTTCTTCATTATATATCAAACCTTTCATCAGTCCTGTAAAAAAAATCACCACTTTGTCGAATCGGCATATATTTCATAAAATACTGCCTTTATTGAATCAGATAAATTTACAACATTCTTCATAATATTTAACAAATCTGTCTTTATCGTGTTACGAGTGGCGAGACTTTAGACAAACTATTTAACGCTTGATAAACCAACACTGATAGAGGTGTTAGCGGCAACGTGTGGGTTTACTGAAGCGTAACCCACTCTGCCGCTGATGCTGGAATGGCAGTTACGGATCAACGCTCCCTGATCCTCATCATCAGACTCCGGTAGATCCCTTATCTCGTCAGCAGGAAGCACGTACTTGATATTTCACCCCCAACTTAGCCCCGCTGTAGATTGTCTGCCTGTGGATTAATCCCGGCTCACAAATTGGAATATTTATTTCTGTCGCTGTTTAGCCTCACAGCATAAAGTCATTCTCTAAACTGACTGGATGTGATTTTTATGATTAAAGTTTATCTGTATCTTTTTTAGAACTACATACCCAATTCCAGAGATATTCTTATCATTTTTACTATTTGGGATTTAGTTTATTTAACATTCACGACATATGCACCAGTAGATATGTTATATAGGTTCGTGTAGACCCTGTACAGAAAATAGAATCTGAAACAGGAGATAAACGGTTTGCTGCCCTTTTGGGAGTTCAGTAGAGTAATTTACCTCTTGCGAACAGTCTCAGGAAATAGATCTCACAATGATTACTACGGTTCTGATGCACAAATTC